GTGCCTATTGTGAACGGTGTTTATTATCCTCGAATATACCTACCTCTCATGAACAGAGTTCACTTTAAGTGGAGGTACGGAACGGCAAACATTTACGTTTGTGTGGTATCACTTTTTAATTTATTTTAGTGCAAGTCAACACAAAACAATGTACCCTTTGTGTAATACTGAGATTTTCACTCACAGGAGTATCGCATGTTATACGGAAACACTGAAGCAGTATTTGACGATACGGACATCTTTTAAACCTTCTGCAATGAGCATGTAGTGCAGCATGCGACCACCACAACTTCTCATTTCCTAACCAAGGTTTGTAACAGCAAAANTAACAGCAAAATTTGGAGGAAATAGAATTTTCAACATTCGTCGACCTCAGAGTATATTCCGATACGTATTGATCTGACTCGTTTACATCGGTATGACTGAAGCTTGTGCATCGAGGCTTAAGGACTGCTGGTTTTGGTTAAAGCTTGATGGGAAAATGTGTAGAAGTCGATCGATTGCCGCTAAGAAATCACTTTTGGTGAGCAACTACATGTGATCGCAATATTCATTGATCGATCATATCTCAAAGAAAAATCGAATGAATGAAACAGAACGACTGTATAACATTGAGCTAAACGTTTTCCCTCTGTGAATAGCCAGTTATAAATAATTTTTGATCTCTGCTCGCTGGCGATTTTGATCATAGAATAATCGAAACTGGAGATGATGGAATGGAACTACTTTACAAACTGTAGTTGAAAGTGAACAAGCATGGTTTGTGTTTCACTGCGTTTTCTCCATGAAGATCAGAATACGAAATCTTTAAAGCCGAACCGAGATAAAATAAGGCGCAGTGAAGTAAAGACAGTCTGGGGCAGTCAAATCCATAGTAGCTTCACATTTATAACCAATCAATGCAAACTGCATTATCGCTAAATCTATCTCACAGTGAGGCATGTAGTCAGTCACTTTACCGTGTTGTCTAAAAATGGATTTTCCGAAGATTCAAAAAACTTTTCTTACTTCACCAATTTAAATACATCAGAATATGAACTTCTTTCCATGTGACAAAAGTATGGAATTCTTTACATCAGAGTGATTGCTTCGTCATTGTGAAGGTCGCCCTTTAAATCAGATTAGATGAAATTAGATCACGGAAGATCAGTAAGGTGGCAAGACGCGTGAATGCACTAATTCGGAACTGCTTACCGGAAAAGTAACACGGGGATGGCAACTGAATGATCGATGATCTCCAAGTTCAGCACCGTTTTCTCACCCAGTCGTATTCGAAATTCGAAATGTTCGTGCCAACAGGGAGTAGTTCCGCAGTGGGCTGACTAGAAGGAATCAAGAATAGCCAGATCATCAGTTTTAGATGTTGGATTGAATGGCAGTGAGAAATGAATTCCCAGTCGATACTTTTCCGTGCTTCATCTTTTCTTTTCCTTTAATATCCATCTCTTTTTTCTTCCTTCAAAACTTATCCATCCATCCATCCATCCATCCATCCATCCATCCATCCATCCATCCATCCATCCATCCATCCATCCATCCATCCATCCATCCATC